TTAAAACCGATAAATCATTTTGTGTGAAGTAACAAAACAAACTACAAACACAATCTTATTTTAATAAGAGGACTTTTCATAGAGACAAAGAAAAAAAATGGAAGGGAAAAACAATGATGACCTGAATACTACCTACAACAATTTCTACTTTGGTTGCAAAAAGCTAATTCTGATAACAAATGGAGACTTGAGCCTCTGAAACTCAATAATTCTTCATGTGCTTTTTCTTACACCGCCTGCAAAGAAGATTAAACTGTGCTTACACAGTTTGGGTTGCAGCCCATATAATTTTCTGCACTCTAAGAGGTTGCAGCCAACCTCACTTTTCAATTCCTGATACGTTTCTGCACATAAGGTCAGTAGATGTTCTTCACACAAAATAAAAAATGAAGTTTTCTGTTTAGATGCTGTTAAATGGCATTTGAAAAAAAAAAAATCTGCCCTTACAACTGATGCTTTTGCAGAAGCATTACTCTGATAAATTCCTTCAGCTGTTCATGACCTGTTAACCGCCGAAAATTATTTTGAAGTTTAACTAAATTCATTGGTTTTAGTTAACCTTTAGATAGATAGATAGATAGATAGATAGATAGATAGATAGATAGATAGATAGATAGATAGATAGATAGATAGATAGATAGATAGATAGATAGATAGATAGATAGATAGATAGATAGATAGATAGATAGATAGATAGATTTGATTGATTGATGTGCATATGTGCATTGATATATGAAGGAGACCGTTGTGAATGTTGCCATAAGGTTTCAATATATGCATGTACGTACCAAACTAGAGGAGCACAAAATGGAGAACATAACAGCAAAAAAAACAACCAAAGTAAAAAATCTAGCTTCAAGCTTCAAGAGCAGCGGGTATCCCTTAGACATCCATTTATGTCGAAGGCAAAACCTACTGTGATTACACAATATTAAGCCAGGCATACACTGTAAATTTTTTTGCCCTTTTTGGGACAATTTTTTACAGTCGTGCAAGAATATTTTCAATAGGGGTTTCAGCCACATCGTACGTCCTGTGCTGTGTAGTATACAGCGAGATTTGCCTCTCACGACCACCTCCCGATCAGGAATCGTAAGGTGGGAAGAAAATCAAACGTGTTTGAAATACAGTCAGCCGTTGTGAGGTGTTCGTGGGCAAATCCTGCTGTTGATGTAAAGCTACGAGCATCCACGAGCTGATTTACCACAACCTCGAGCACTGCACATGTGCAATGGAGTTCTTCTTCCTCAGATTAACAAGTCCAACCAGTGCATCTCTCTGCACTCAGTCCGACGGGTGGTTTTTAGACGTAAAAGTGGGAGCAGGTAGATTGCATCAGAGCATCGTGCCAAAAATGTGAGAGAACATATACCGTGAGCTGTGAAATTTTAAAACCTGAGATTTCATCCTACAGTTTGAGCTGTAGCTGCATGCAACAATTGAAAATATCGCACAGTGTATGCCCGGCTTTTATTCAGTGGTATATACACTATATTGCCAAAAGTATTTGCTCACCTGCCTTGACTCACATATGAGCTTAAGTGACATCCCGTTCCTAATCCATAGGGTTCAATATGACGTCGGTCCACCCTTTGCAGCTAGAACAGCTTCAACTCTTCTGGGAAGGCTGTCCACAAGGTTTAGGAGTGTGTTTATGGGAATTTTTGACCATTCTTCCAGAAGCGCATTTGTGAGGTCGCACACTGATGTTGGACGAGAAGGCCTGGCTCTCAGTCTCCGCTCTAATTCATCCCAAAGGTGTTCTATCGGGTTGAGGTCAGGACTCTGTGCAGGCCAGTCAAGTTCATCCACACCAGACTCTGTCATCCATGTCTTTATGGACCTTGCTTTGTGCACTGGTGCACAGTCATGTTGGAAGAGGAAGGGGCCAGCTCCAAACTGTTCCCACAAAGTTGGGAGCATGGAATTGTCCAAAATGTCTTGGTATGCTGAAGCATTCAGAGTTCCTTTCACTGGAACTAAGGGGCCAAGCCCAGCTCCTGAAAAACAACCCCACACCATAATCCCCCCTCCACCAAACTTTACACTTGGCACAATGCAGTCAGACAAGTACCGTTCTCCTGGCAACCGCCAAACCCAGACCCGTCCATCAGATTGCCAGATGGAGAAGCGCGATTCGTCACTCCAGAGAACGCGTCTCCACTGCTCTAGAGTCCAGTGGCGGCGTGCTTTACACCACCGCATCCGACGCTTTGCATTGCACTTGGTGATGTATGGCTTGGATGCAGCTGCTCGACCATGGAAACCCATTCCATGAAGCTCTCTGCGCACTGTTCTTGAGCTAATCTGAAGGCCACATGAAGTTTGGAGGTCTGTAGTGATTGACTCTGCAGAAAGTTGGCGACCTCTTCGCACTATGCGCGTCAGCATCCGCTGACCCCGCTCCGTCAGTTTACGTGGCCTACCACTTCGTGGCTGAGTTGCTGTCGTTCCCAAACACTTCCATTTTCTTATAATACAGCTGACAGTTGACTGTGGAATATTTAGGAGCGAGGAAATTTCACGACTGGATTTGTTGCACAGGTGGCATCCTATCACAGTTCCACGCTGGAATTCACTGAGCTCCTGAGAGCGACCCATTCTTTCACAAATGTTTGTAAAAACAGTCTGCATGCCTAGGTGCTTGAATTTATACACCTGTGGCCATGGAAGTGATTGGAACACCTGATTCCAATAATTTGGATGGGTGAGCAAATACTTTTGGCAATATAGTGTATCTGTAGCTTAGTATTTAGTATTGGTGGGTATCCTTGAACACCTGGAACAAAACTCCCGTACTGTGTATGCATGGGCATCCTCTTGTAAAAAAGATTTACCAGGCTTCTTCAGAAGGCCCCAGACTTGCCCCACAAGTCACTGAATAGAAAAAGAATCGACGCGGACCCCGGAGATCCAGAGGCACCCCAGATCACGGGGACACAATGAGGGCAGATATAGGGATGGCTGCACCCAGCAGAGAAGGGCAAACAAGAGAGCACTCTGAGCCTGAATCCGAGGTGCCAAACCCCAAGGGGAGCCAGTCTCTGAGGGGCCTGACCCCAGAGACCATGTGCCTGGTTCCCATGGGGCTGTGGCAGCAAGCCCATGGGCTTTTACTGGCAAACTGTCACGATCAAGGTGGACATGGATGAGAACCCTGCGGTCCGGTGGCGAACCACCCTCCCATGCTGACCCCACAGAGCTAAGAGACCCAGAGTGGCAGCCACCAGGATCGAGATAGCACCCACTGAAGTACCCAGCTATGCACCTAGAGAACCATCAGTGCGCCAGCAGACAGGCCCCTGTCACTCGCAGGGAAAGGGGAGGAGCCAGGCCCTGCTCAAATGTAGGTTGGGCTGGGGAGGCAAACACCCAGTCTGTGGGTAGACAAAAAAATAACTTCTTATTCATCCTGTCACATTGACACAATCCCGTCTTTACACCCATAATAACATACATACTGTATACAAGCTTTCAACGGAGACGCACACATGGGCAGACACTAAACATATTCTCACACTCGTCACACACACACTATCCTCCCGAGTCTGGGGGCTAATCTTCCCAGGGGGAATGGGCCAACGGACCCAGGAGATCCCCAGACCTGTAAATCCTAACTTTCTAAATGCATTCCAATAACCACAGGTGGGCATGAGCATCGGAAGCAATGCCAGAAAGCATGACACATCTCTAGTACCTCAAATACACCCCCAGGCCAACAAAGGGAGAGCCAATCCCCACAAAAAAGAGAGGCCAGGGACTGGGCGCAGAGGCAACAGAGCAAGGGACTAAGCAGGTCGCCCGCCAGACAAATCCCTCCCAATCCAGGCCTCTTGTGGAGATGCCCTTTTTCTGCTGAAACCTTTACGGAGGGTTGTTGAGGAACTATCCAATTTACTTTAAATGATTTTTTAAAGACCTAAAACTATCGTCTTGCTGCATGCAGTCCCATAACTGCTGGTATCTGGCAAAAGATCTAGCTATTAATTTCAACAATCCTGCCACATATAGAATTTGGGTGTTCTATATGTGTGATGGTGTATAATGGTGTGTTGACCCTGACAGAAAATAACCCCAAAGCAACATTTATGCACAGATTTTGACTTTAAAGGCTGATAAACTTATTTTTTCCTTTGTGTTTCAATTTTCTTCTTTCTATATTTTTGTTTTTGTATGAGGTCCATGATGAGTATATGAAAGCTTCAAATAAGAATTATACAGTACTTGAGGTAAAAAGCAGTTTGACAAGAAAATTTTGATATAATAAATCCTACAAACCATTTTGTATTTCAGAATATTGCAATGTAAAAAAAAAAGTGTTCTCTGTGTTCAAGCTGTTTATGACTTCACTACTAAAAGGTTGCTATGTTTGAGATGGCCTTATGTTTAATCAGGTGGCACATTTTAAGGCCAAAGCCAGACTATAATTCTGAGAGAAATCAATGAACCTCTGGTTTTACGTCACTTTAAACCCACCACTTGCTTTCTGAAAATGTACAAACTGGTTGGTTATGAGCTGGTTAGTTAGTAAACGTTTGCAAAATAATGAAAATTCATGCCTTTTTTGTGCGCCAAAAGAAATGGTTGTTACTTTTCTTTAAGTCAGGTATGACACACCATTTCTCCTGATAACAGTGGGAGAGGGAGGAATCAGATATTCATGATCTTTGTGGACATAGCAAAGCATTGTGGGTATTCTCGAGAAATTATACTGATTGGCAAATATTTGAGGTGCAGCCCAGCTGTTTGCCTCAGACAAAGGTTAAGAATGAAGTGGCAACTATCGAATTATTCATCACGAGGAAGGCAGAGCTAGAGGTGTCTGTCGTTTTGGTGATCTTTTTTTGAGAAGATGATAGTCAAAAACCTAAAAGAAATCCATCAAACAGATGACATTGAAATCACTCTGATGATATCATCCATTCTGCTTTATGATTCTTCATTTTTCAGATACTGTCTTTGACCTGCTTTTGGTAACAAATAAACAACAACAGTTTAAGTCATTTCAAAGCTGTATTTGCATAATCCACATCTGCAGTTTTCAGAATAAGAAACCGACTTATAAAAAAAAGAATGAACAATTGTGTGTAAAACATTAATGGACAAAGAGTAGAAATATGAAGATAACAAAGAGTAGAAAGTTTAACATTGATTTTAGGGATCTCAAAAAAATGTTAGAAAAGGAGTTCCATGAATATAGAGGATGGAGCACAGTCACACTAAACCCTCAAATCAGTATAGTTTTCTGCAATGCCAAAGTCCTTATTTGAACATAACTTTCATTGATATATCCTTGAGCTTTAGCACTTTTTTCCTGATGTTAAGATTTCTTGTTTTTAATTAGGAGACACGCGGTTATAAGGAGCACATGTACCACTCACAGAATTTTCATACCTCTTCTTTTTTTTTTCTTCTTTTTTTTTTTTTTTTACATCTTACATCCAACAACCTCAAGATACCCTATATGGGTTGCATGCTACGACCAACACAAAGTAAAGCTTTATTTATTAAAATGATGCATGGTTTCAAACAGCTCCCATCTTGGATTCATGAATATCTTGCAGGTCCAATCCAACAACCGACAGGCCCAGCAAAGACGCTGTGAATCACAGTTAATCATGGTAAACCTGGAGGAGCAGCAGAGATCAAAAACTCACTGATGAAGAGGTGCAGTTTACTACAAGCTATGTAATTCAACGCTAAGGGAAACAATCCAGGCTTTTAGGCTTGTTTGAGACGTTCCATTCAGCAGATCTCAGTAAGATCTCACTCCTCAAACAATAAGGTGTCGTTCATACCCTTGATAGCTTACCGAGAGATGTTTGATCACATCAACCGGGTGTGAATTGGTTTTAAACTAAATCTGAGGCCTCCTATTGTTTTATTTTCTTGCCTATTACAAATGGCAGTCTGCACTGTTGCCTTGCAGGAAGAAGGTCCAGGGATTTCTGATAACACATTGGATCTTGAGGTCTCAGGGTTCAACTTGGAGCACACTTCTAAGCCAATTCAGTAATTAATTTGAAAATATGTTTCACCAAATGCATAATGTGGCAGAGACACCATTTTTCACCAAAAGTCTTAGAGATAAAATTGCAGTAAAAGTTGGTCTTCATTTGATGTTGCCTCAGGTAAGCTGAATTTTTATGCATGCCCTACTTATCAACCTTCACACTTTTTGGATTTTTCTTTTTGAAAACAAGTGTAGAAAATCGTGCATCATTTCTATTCCACCTTATTCCAAGTTGGTTGCTACGTTGTGTCGACGCATCACATAAACTTCCATTAAACTACATTAAAGTGTACAGTTGTAATGTGACAACGTGAGAAATAATGCAAGCGCTTTAGGTATTTTCTTCAAGGCATTTTTCTTCTCAAACATTTCATAATTATAAAACTGGAACAGTCAAAAATGTGGTAAAAGTTCAATCTTTGTTAAAACATTATAAATATTTCATATCAAAGCAAATTTTTCCAGTATAAAGTCCACAGTGCTGCTGGTTTAGTAGTGGAAAGTCTAATAAGATACTATAAAAAGGAAAAATCTGCAGAGAAAACAGCAAAAACATTTTCAGTCCCGTAAAGTAGGCTGAAGCCTAACAGACTTAATTCATGGATCCACGACAGGAATTGTGCTGACCTTGTTGTTCCTACTGATCCGACGTTCAGGCCGCTGTTTGGGTATTTTGGTCTGGATCAGTTCCTCCGGTGTGTTACCCAGTGGAGGCAGCAGCCTCTTCTTGCTGTTCCTGGTCTCAGGAAGCCACTGAGGTGGCAACTCAAATGGTCCAAAACCAAACTGTGGGGAGTCCTCTGCTTCTGTGGGAGTAGCTGGCGCCACCTGTGAAGATGAGGTGTACGCGCATGTGTGAACGGGAGAGGCCCGAGCTGCTTTAGCCACTGCAGGAGCCTCTTTCGTGATGACCAGCCCTCCAACTGGGTCCTTTGAAGTGTTCATTTCACCCTTAAAGCTTCCCAGTCTTGACCTATCCTTCAGGTTTTCTTTAGGCTCCAAGCTTCCTCCTAATATTTGAGAAGGAATCTCATTCTCTGCATCCTCTTCCTCCTCTTCAGAAGGTCTGAAGATCTGCTGTTGGCCGATATTAAACATCTCCAAAAGCTGGCTCCCGGATCGACCAGCTGTATCTAGTCCCACAGGCTCACCAATTACCCCCTCGCCCCCTATAGAGGCTAAACCACCGGTATTGACCACGTTACGGCGGCTGTAGCGCCTGTGAATCCTGGACAACAGTTCCAGGCAGCTATGGCGTGCTGAGCGGTTCACCGTCAAAAGTAAGACAGGATTGGTAAGGAGGGAAACCTTGGGAAGCCAAAGAGCTGTGAGATAAAGTGAGACAGGCAGCTCTTTAGTGTCTGCAAAAATCGTACGATAAACCACTAATGCTCCGTAGGGGGCACTGCATGCTGAGAAAGCCAGCACAGCAGCCAACAGGGTAGCATGCAACTCTGCCTCTCTCTGTGACACGTAAGGAATGGAGATACTGTTCTGCGGAGTCCGTAGAGCTGCAATGATCACCTTCTTCTTCTGACTGGCGCTGAGCGCTCTGCGGATCAGCAGCATAAAAAGGAAGACAAGGGCCAGAGGGAAGATCACGGTAGTGAGATTGTAGATCAAAACGAAGACCACGTGACCCGGAGAGCGAGCGTGGTCATCTGAGCACGATGAGGTGACATAGACGTCAGTAACGTTAGTCACAGCAAACACAGGGAGGCTGGCCACGACGGCGTGCACCCAGATATAGATGACCAAGTCTCGAGATCTGGCATCAGAGATTTTCCTCTCTAAGGGGTACAACACCGAGTAGTACCTGCAGACACAAAAACAAAGCATTAGCTTACATGTAGGAGGAACTGGGACATAAAAGAACTAAAAGTAGTTTTGGGATTCTGGAGTTATTCAAGCTGTTTTCTTGTGTGGAAAAAACAGCCTCTACTTTGAGATTAATGTCAACTAAATGCAGTCACGCTGAAAACGGCTTATGAAAATCTCTGTAAAGAGGATTTATGTGGCAATACAGATAAACAGAATGGAATTTTAAAGATCTAGTGTCTGAAATACCCACGTCAACAGCAGTAGGTTTAAGTAACACATTCTGTTTTTGTGAAGTAAGCCAGGCGAAACAGAAATCCACACAATCTCCTATTGATGTTAAAGCTTCAAATGGTTTCACAGCAGAGCTAGAATATATATAACATTAACAAATCCATTATATCTGATGCTGGCAGAAAAAGAATGCTAAGAGGGGAATTTTTACACATTTATGCTGCTGTTATTTTAGAGGGAGTTAATATATCGCAGCTAATTTTTTAAAGAGCTAACAGGAATTTTTAAAAGACTATTCGGTTTCGTATGCTTCCTCTTTTTTACAATTCTTCTTTCAATTTTGTATCTACAATAAAACGTTCATTTTTCTTGCCTTTTAATGGTGCCTTGGCCAACCTGCCCCTCTGCTGGCCCATACCCAATCAAAATGCAGGAAAAGTTTGAAACAATGCTTGACCACAACTATAAGATGTAACTGAAACGTTAAATTTATTTTGCCTATGTGACCTCAGGAGTTCACCGCTTCTCTGCTCTTTAACAGATGTTATAGTCATCGATCATTTTGTTGGACATTTGACTGGTCTTCTTGGAGAATAGATAGACTCGATTTAAATAAAACATATTTTGGTATTTACCTAGCTTTTAATTATAAGCCATTGTGTTTTATTGTTTTAAAGTCATAACCAAACACAGATGTAATGTTAGCCGGCTTTATCAATTTCAAAACCAGTTCTTGTGTTTTTGGGACCGTTGTCCACATGCAAATGTTGAAGAAACAGCCCCATACCATGATGAGGTTACCACCATGTTTGACCCCTTGTTTGTCTTAGGTTTAGTATTCTCATATTGCTCACTCCAAGCAATCTTCCTGCCTCTGTGACCAAAATGCCTTAATATTTGGTAACAGTTGGGATAAGATGGTTAAAACTTGAATAGAAATGAGTGTACCAATAGGATGATGAAGCTGAAACACAAATAAAAACCTGGTTTTAATTCTCGACTTCTGGAACATATCCTAACATTTATTAACTATACTTGCTTAGTAGAAAACCAGACCACTAGAAGTGAATTTAACAAGCTCTACAAATTCTTCCAAAAGAGAGCAGTCGAATATCCAGAAATGTGAGGATTTCACTTAAACTTTTTACAGAAATTCAACCCCTCAAGTTCTATAGTTATACTAGCAATTTTATTTTATCACCCTTTGAACATCCAGGGATAAGACTTAGAAACTGTGGACAGTTTCAAATACCTGGGTGTTCATGTCAATAACAAACTGGACTGGACCCATAACGCTGACGTCCCGTATAAGGGCGGCCACCTCCTGTGGAGGCTCAGGTCCTTTGGAGTAAGCAGGACCCTACCGAAAACCTTCTATGACTCTGTGGTGGCATTAGCCCTCCATTACCCTGATGTCTGCTGGGCCCCAGGCACACAGAGCGGGACAGAAAGAGACTGAACAAACTGGTGAAAAAGGCCATTTCAGTCCTAGGCTGCACTCTGGACTCAGTGGAGGAAGTGGCCGAGACGAGGGTGCTGTCCAAGCTCACATCTATCATGAACAACACCTTCCACCCTCTGCACCAGAGTGTAAAGGAGCTGAGCAGCTCCTTTAGTGACAGACTTATGTTACGTTCAATCTGCACACTTCAGAAGCAGCAGAAGCAGCTAGTTTACATGAAAGTCAATGGTTGACCTGGATCAAGACCCAGAAAAAGGTATTGCAGCGCGTTTTGAGCAGCAGTAGCAGCGTAACGTGCTTCAGAAGCACCAGCTGCTGGTGTTCGAAAAATTTAACTTTTGGTGCTCGACACGCCACATCAACCAATCAGAGAAGCTGAACTGGGAGCTGGCAGGGAGACAGACACAGCACTACTGATGCAGATCGCTAAGATAATCCTCTGAAACAACTCATTAATGCCTAAATTAACGTAAAATGTTGAAACCTGCTGGCAAAATATGTTCGCTTTTATTTTTCCGCCCCCAGTTTGGATTACGTGCATGAAAAATACCTTCCAGTCTCCACGAAGAGGCGACCAGGCCAGAGGCATCTACCGGGCCAGAGGCTGCTGTTAAACTGGATTCCCAGTGACAGAGCACCGGGGGTCTGAGGGCTCCGAAAGTGAAACAATAATTGTAGGCAGGATCGTAATCTTCATAAACTAACTACACAGATGAAGTTATCAGGTGGACTTTCTTACTTAAAAACATATTAAAACTACTTTTTACCCAATTATAACAGCAACTATATTAAATCTGCTCTCTGCCACTCAATACAGGAGCCACAGAAGCATTGGATGCATCTGGACACACTTTACTAGACATCTGACCTTAATGGGGACAAGCATCAAAAATCCAGCAGCAAAAGTTTTTTTGCTGCTTCCGGTGCTTGTGGTCTGAACATAGCATTCTTCATTAAAATAAGCCAAGCGACTCTCTCCATTTCATCCGCCATTGTTACAGGCAAAGAAAGGATAACTCCACCTAATGCACATCAGACCCACTTTCTGACCGCGCAGCTAAAGCAGCAAAGATTGAGGCATCTTTGCTGCACGTCAGAACTAAACTTGTACAAGTATCAAAAATGAAGAAGCACGCATGTTTTTGTTGCTTCTGCAACGTGCGGACTGAACGTAGCATTAAACACCCCGTGTGTAAAAAGAAGTGCTACCGCAGGTCATTCATCCCTGCTGCTATCAGACTTTACACTGCCACATCTCTACAACCTGGTGTAATAACACTGCAATAACTTATACTAATTATCTATTTAACAAAGCATAAACTACACTTTAACTGCTGCCACTTTAATGTACATAAGATACTGTATATATAAGTCACCTTAAATCTCATTTAGTCTTACCATCAACTATATATTCTTCATGCACCTTTTCCTCCTTTGTGCACCTCCTGTTTGTTTATAAGAGTCAATATCACAACTGAATTTCTCCATTGTGAGATCAATTAAGTTCTATTCTATTTGTTATCCAGTAAAAAAACAACGAAAAGGTGTCTACTTTTGTTTGTGCATATTCAAATACTACGGGTAATAAAAAGGCCCCTACAGCATGACTATGTAAAATCCACCATTCTTGATGGTTGACATATAGTTATTAGGATTTTAAGGTTAAGTACAAGGTATAATCTTCACTGTAAATCTACATTTGTAAATTGTGCTGGACCAGTGACAGAATATCAATATATTAACAATCATTCTATCAATTCTGTACAGAGATAACAATTAGCCACAGTTAAGTGCTAAATGCTTATTGTTAGTTGTACAAATGTTGCAGCTTCCTAAATAACATTTATTTATATGTCAGTAGGTTTATACGTTCATATTCAGGCTTGCATTTTAATGGTGTGTGACTTTGACACAAAACTAATTTTTTTAAAATCTGTGCTTCCAATATTGATCTCCTCCTACAAAAAACATTAAAACCCAATCATGCGTAGCTCTAAAACGATAATGCGATTTATGAATATTAGTAGTGTCTTTGTTCTTAAGCCACATTTCCTGATATTGATAAATCAAATAAATGAAGATGTCCATTAATTTTATTTTTTTTAAGATTCAAGATGAGGAAAAAACCCATTAAGATTTCATTAGCTATTTTCCTGTTTCTCATCACTGTGTAAATGAGCCAGTAAGTGTTTTGCAGTCTCAGCTTCTCTGTATATCTCTAGCCTTCATTGCCCTTCTGAAGAATAAATAATTAAGCGTTTGGATATTATTCTGACTGCAGTTACCAAGGAGCCAAAAACAATCTTCAAGGCAGTAAAAAGAAGGTAGAAATAATGGTGCAACATTGTAGTAGCCGACTGCAACTCCAGAAAAAAAAGAAAATAAAAAGAGTCAAAAACAAATCACGCAAACAGGAAATTTAGGACTTTGAAATAAATACTTTTTTTAATAAATACACAATAACTTTAATTTAGTCATGATTTGTCTGGATGATTTATTGGGATAAATGATCCAGCAGACGATTGAGAAAATATCATGTGGTCTGTTCCTACACAGTCCCTTTGTAAAAAGGGGTTCTCTTCCCTAATTTGTCACACCGTTTCAGTGATAGGTGAGGAACGTGTTTATTTTGAATGATGTTTCCTCTCTTCATTAGAAATTTGCCAATGTGTAAGAGCATGATATACAGTACGCCTGTTACATGTATCTGCATGTTATTAAAGGTTTCATCTCACAGTTATACACCTAATTTAATCTTATGCATATTTTTCAACCTTGGGATGAGATTTTACCACATGTAGATACAGTAGAGCAACAAAGTGTTTAGTCAGCCACTAACTGTGTGAGTTCTTATACTTAGAAAGATGAGAGACATTTTTATCATAGGTATAAAATGAGAAACAAAAATCCAGATAATAGCATTGAAGGATTTTTCGCAAATTTATTCATACATTTTGAAGGAAAATAAGCACTTGGTCCCCCACAAAGAAGAAAAAAAAAAAAAACACAGATGTGTGTCAACTGAAACAAACAGAGAACTTTTTGGCACAAACTGTACTTGTTTTGTTTGGAGGGAGAAGAATGCTATGCTTTGTCCAAAGAACACCACACTTTCAGAAAAGCACGGAAGTGGAAATGTCATGCTATGGGGCGGTTTCTCTGCAAAGAAGACAGGATGACTGATCCGTTTTAGGTCAAATGAACAGTGTTATGTATCAGGAGATTTTAGGAAAAAAGCTTCATCCATCAGTGAGAGCATTGAAGATGGAAGGTGGCTTTGCCCTCCTGCATGACAATAATCC